GAGGCTTCAGATGAGGCTGCAGCCCTGACAGCTTGGCTCCAGTCTCATGACGGACCCTGAGCCTGGATCCACCGAGCTAAGCCATCCCCAGATCCCGACCCTCAGAAATTCTGGGATATAATACACGTTTGCTGCTTTCTGGTGCTGAGTTTCAGCGTAATCTGGTAGCAACAGATAACTCTGTGCTTTGTTCTTGATCTTTTGAGTGGAGGTAAATAGAGTCAAGAAGACAATTGCTGTAGGGAACAACCATATATGCTGTGTGAGAGGACAAATCAATATTGGTCTACCTTGTGCCAGGCTCTGTTCTAGGTCCCCTGGCCCCCAAATTTATTTGATAGTAGGAACCACCTGGGGTGCTGGTTTAACTTACAGATTTCTAGGCCCCTTCCCCTGGTTTGGGGTGGGAACCAAGGAATCAGCATGTTTCACTAGCACCCCAGATAATTCTATCACCAGGCAAGCTGAGAAATATTTGCAAGAAAGGGTTAGAAAATGAGGGAGCCCTAGCCCCTCTTCAGGTGACGGTGCGAGAGGGGAAGCAAATTGTTTGGTTAAGATCTCACTGGAGCAAGACAGGGAAAGACTGACAGAGCAACAGAAACATTCGGCATTTAGCGGAGCCTGCTAAGCCCCCGGCACGCACCAGACACTTGGCCTGTTTCACCGTATTGGGTCCTCACAACAGCCTTGTGCAGGGGGAGCTCTGGCCACCTGTAGCTTACGAATGGGAGGCTCCGCTTTGGTTCCAGGCCGTCCAGGCACACGGTGAGGGGGGGAGGGGGCAGGGGACTTCACACACCAGGCCCCTAACCCAACGGGCTCCATCCCAGGACGTAGGAGGCTCAGCCACGTGAGAGGCCTGTGACATCTCTGTAAACAGGAGAAGGTGCTCAGGGACGGAGATGGGCCTCGGAAGACAGAGCAGGAGGTGCTGGAACCTGGTGGTGACTTCCCAATAGAAGCTCAGCTCACTTGTAAGTGAAGGAAGGGAGCTCCAGAGAGTGGAGGCCACCTGCCTGAGGCCGACCTGGCCACGAAGCGTGGGGATCCAGGACCCAGCGGGCCCCTCTCCTTTGTGGACACTGGGAGGTCAAAGTGCGACGGGCCTTGGGTGCCTTGCTGACGAGGACGGAGCTGTTCTATAGCCCCTTTGAGCCATTTCAGCGAACAGTTCAGTGACATCGTGGGCACCCAATTCAGGGCGTTTTCGTCATCTCCCACAGAACCTCTGGATCCGCTGAACATAACTTTCCCTTCCTCCTCCTCCTCCCTACCCTCCTCCATTCACTCTCTGACTCGATGGATTCGCCTATTCTAGGTTCCTCATAGACCTGGATTCATGGAGTATTTGTTTGTGTCTGACTTATTTCACTTAACGTGGTGTTTTCAAGATTCACCCGTATGGTAGCACGAGTCGGGACTGAGTTCCTTTTTTTCTCACTTTTTTTTTTTAAATTGTGGTGAAATACACCAAATATTTACTATCTTAACCGTTTGGAAATGTACATGTCAGCGACCTAAGCGCATCCACATTCTTGTGCAACCCCCACCACCCCTTCCAGGACTCTTCCCATCTGGCAAAGCTGACACTCTGGACCCGCACGCGGCACCTCCCGCTCCCTCAGCCTCCAGCACCATCCGCTTTCTCTAGGATTTGGGCTCTGCAGGGTCCCTGCTGTCAGTGGACTCACACAGCATTTGCCTTTCTGTGACCGGCTTACTTCACTTCCCGGGATGTCCTCACGTTTCATCCCTGTTGCATCCTCTGTCATAATTTCCATAATTTGGAGGCTGATGATATCCCACTGTGGGTACACATCCCGTGGTGCTTATCCGTCCACCTAGTGACGCGTCCTGGGACGGCGCCCACCTCTTGGCTATTGTGAATGATGCGGCTCTGCCCATAGGTGCCCCAGTAGTTCCTTGACACGCTGCCTTCCTTCCACGACTCTGGCTCTATATCCAGGGAGGAAGCTGCTGAGCCTGTGAGAATTCTATTTTTTAACCTTTGAGGAACTGTCCTACCGCTTTCCACAGCGGCTCCATCATTTTCCATTCCCACCTTCAGTGAGCGGCCCGGGGTTCCCATTTCTCCGGGTCCTCACCAGCGCGTGAGCTCACTCACTCCATCATTCTTTAGCGATGAGAAAACTGTCAGGTGTGTAACTAGCACATTTTATTTATTTATTTATTTATTTTTATTTTTATTTTTATTTTTATTTTTATTTTTTATTTATTTATTCATTCATTCATTCATTCATTCATTTATTTATTTTTATTTATTTTTAAATCTGTTCATCAGTTGATGGACATTTGGGTTGTTTCCAGGTTTTGGCTATTGGGAATAAAACTGGCCGGAACACTGACGGACTGGGATCCGGGTTCCTGTTTTGTTTTGTTTCTGAAAGTGAAATGACCGGATGGTAGGGTAATATTATATTTGACTTCTTGAGAAATCCAGACTTTTGAGGGCGATCTGTGCTCTGTGAAGTTGGCTCTGGCCTGCGCAGCCTTCTCAACAGATGGGGGGGGGGGGGCGGCTCCTGCCTCCTGCAGCGCCCACACGGCCCCCTCCCCTCGCAGCCCCTTTCCTCTAGAGGTGGGCGCTGCCCAAATGGAGCTGATGACCTTGGGGTGCCCCGCGGTGCCCCGGGCTTGGCAGAGGCATCGAGGTCTGGGTCCATCACAGGTGTCCGGCGAGGGCGGGGGGGGGGGGGGTGGCCCTCTGGCTGCCCTTGGATGCGCCCGGCCCGCCCCCTCCGCCAGGTGAGCCGCACTGTCCGGTTGCCCGGGGCGGGCACTGCGGGAGGGAGCTACGCCTCCGGGGATGGCTCAGCCCCGCCCCCCGCCCGCGGCCGCCGCTCCCGAGTCTGAGCCCCGGCCCCGCTCCCTCCGCCGCGTCCTCCGCATCCCGGGGCTCCCGGGTCCCAGCCGCGCGCGGGCCCAGCGACCCCAGTGAGCCCGCGGGGGGGCCTGGGCGCCCCCAGGGCACCGGGGGGCGGGGATCGCTGAGCGGGGGGGCAGGGGGGAGACGAGGACGCAGCGGGGGCTGGTCCCTGCGCCCCGGGAGCCGCCTGGGTCCCCGCACCGCCGACACCGACCCGGAGCGCGGCCGCCGCAGGTGCAGGTGCAGGTGCAGGTGCAGGTGCAGGTGCAGGTACGGGGCGCCCGGGGGATGCTCGCCCCCGTCGGGCTCCTTGCCAGGCACTAGCTTTCGCGCCCATTCCCCAGGGGAGCGGGGTACCCGCCCCGGGAGTGCCTCCCCCCCCCCCCCGCCCCGGGGACCGGGGTTCCCCCTGCAGACGCCAGAAAGCGGGAGGGAGCGCAGGACCGGCCTCCGCGGGGCTGGGGCTCCCAGCGCCCCCTGCCCACCCCCCCCCAAGAAGTTTTTATCACCATTTGCTGACTTGGAGCCTTCCAGGTAGGTGACCCGGGGCACACGGGGCCTGCGGGGAGGGAGGGGGGCCCAGCAGGATGGCAGCTGGACCCGCCTGGACCCTAAGACGTGCCCCCCCACCCTTCAGGGGTGCGGTCTCACCCTGACAGGGGCACCGGGGAGGGACTGGGAAGGGATCAATGGAGGTGAGGCGGGCGGTGGCCTCGTGGGGCTCAGAGGGGCTTTAACCCCAGTGTCCCCCCAAGACAGGCTGCGGATACCTCCCCTCCGAGGAGTGTGGGCAGCAGGTCTCCCCCCCACACCCCCGGGGCTGGGGCCTCTTAGGTCTCAGCAAGTTGGTGTGATGCTTGCAGGCTCTGGGAGGGACCGGGACTGCAAGGGGAGGGGGGTTCCTCTTGGTTTTCTGGTCCCCAGCAGGGCAGCGAACCCCCACCCCACTCCCCATAGGTGCTGCGGTGGAGGCATCTGGGGCAGGATCCCCCCCTTCCCCGTGGCCGCGGAGGTCTGAACCCTGGGCAGGAATTCTTTGCAGCCCCGGTGTAACGCCCTCCCTTCCCGGGCGCTCCGAGCTCCCTTCACAGATGTTACTGATCTGCTGCCTGGAGGATGTTGAAACTCCGAGCGGTTAAGCTGTTTATCCGGGGCAGGCTCCGGAGCCCCCGACTAAGCCACTCAGGGGCTCGTGGGCTGTGGCTTCAGCCCCGCAGCCTCTGCCTGGGGACAGGCCTTGGTCAACGCCGCTTGGCTCCTGGGATCGCAGCAGACGTGCATGTGGGGACACGAAACCCAGCGAGGCGCGGGAAGGGACGCTGCGGGGTAGACTGGGATTCTGGAGGGTTCTGCGAGAGGAAGGAGACCAGCTGGGGGGCGGGGGGAGCGACAGGGCTGTCTCGTACAGGGCTGATGATATTCAGAATAATTTCCTTCTTTTTTTAAAAAAGATTTTATTTATTTATTCATGAGAGAGGCAGAGACATAGGCAGAGACTCAGGCAGAGGGAGAAGCAGGATCCATGTGGGGAGCCCGACGTGGGACTTGATCCAGGGACCCCGGGGCCACGCCCTGGGCCCAAGGCAGGCGCCAAACCGCTGAGCCCCCAGGGATCCCAGAATAATTTCTTTTAAGCCACAGAACTGGACCGTTTCACAAAGACCGAGTTCATGCTGATGGGAGGGGGGAGAGTTTGGAGCCAGTCACTTTCCTTCTCTTCAGCACCCCCCCGCCCCCCAACTTGGGTCCTTAAGCAAAATTGCGGCCCCACGTCAGATCTTCAGTGGAGACGAGATAAGCTGAGCCGGAGCCGGTTGTCTCTACTGCAGTCCAGCCTGCCCCGGAGGAGCGGCTCTGTGGTTTTTATCCATTTGTCTTCTCTCCCCGCCTCCTTGGTCTCCCCCCATCACTCTGTTCGTCGTGAGCGCGGGGCTCGCGGGTGGGCTTGGGGTACAGGGCGGCTTTCAATTTGGCCACTCACTTGTGTGTGTCTCGAAGGTTTAGGATGGAGCTCAGGCCCCGAGCCCCGAGGACGGCGGACTCGTCCTGACCGAGCGGAGAGGGCGGCGACCCCAGCATCCCCGACGTAGCCCTGGGAGCCACTGGCCCGATGGAGGTCGCCGCGGGGCTCGCCCAGGAGTCGGCCCCCAACACGTCCGCCTACTTCCCCTCCGTGCCTGCGGCCCACGGGGCCCACGTCGCGTCCTTCCCATTCAACTTCAGCTACGGCGACTACGACCTGCCCTTGGGTGAAGAGGAGGACGTGACCAACTCCCGGACTTTCTTCGCCGCCAAGATCGTCATCGGCGTGGCCCTCGTGGCCATCATGTTGGTGTGCGGTGTTGGCAACCTGGTCTTCATCGCCGCCCTGGCCCGCCACAGGAAGCTGCGGAACCTGACCAACCTGCTCATCGCCAACCTGGCCGTCTCTGACTTCCTGGTGGCCGTGGTCTGCTGCCCCTTTGAGATGGACTACTACGTGGTGCGCCAGCTGTCCTGGGAGCACGGCCACGTCACGTGCGCCTCCGTCAACTACCTGCGCACTGTCTCGCTCTATGTCTCCACCAATGCCCTGCTGGCCATCGCCATCGACAGGTGAGTCCGGGGACGCAGGGACGACAGAGAAAGGGCCCCGGGTCGACCCCTTCCTTTACTGCAGGTGTGGACGGACGGGCGATCTCTGTTCTCTGCAGATGCCGATGCCTGGCGGGGGCGGGGGGGGCAACGTTGGCCCGTTGGCCGACCAGTAAGGAGACTTCTGGTTTTCCAGCCATGGGCGGGCAGGGGCAGTAGCCGAGCTCCCCGGAGCTGAGCGATCCCTGGGCGACGGCTGCCCTCCTGGACGGCCTGCTCGGGGCCTGGGGGCAAATAGGTTCGAGGACATGTGGAGGGACAAGTCTCAGTTCCAGGCAGGTGCCTTTTGAGTCAGCTTGCCTGAGGAAGATTTTCTCAAAACGCAAGCACCTCTCCCCTAACCTCCCCCCAACTCCGCGCCGGTTGATTTTAAAATAAGACGGGTGATTTGTTTTGAAGAAAAAAAAGAAAAAGAGAAAGAAAAAGAAAGGAAAGAACAAAGAAAGGGAGCGCATGCTCTTGCTGGCTCTTTCCGTCGGGGCACGTTTGCTCCTCCCCATAGGTTCGCGTGGGCGCTCGGAGGGCCGGTCTGGCCTCGTGCCTGAAGCCGTCAGGGCACACTCTGCACACCTGTGTTCGGCGGTGTCGGGCCTTTTCCCTTAGGATGCGCTCCTGTGCTAAGGAGCCCGGCGGGGGGGGTGGGGTGTCCCCGGGCAGTGTCTGCAAGCCCCTCTGCCGAAGCTCTCTTCCTGGCGCCGCCACCGGGGTCAGGGCCCCGTGTCCTCGGGTCTGCACGGCCCGTCCCTGCCCCTTCGCCCGAGAGCCCGCAGCACAGCCGCCCCCCAGGTTCGTGGCCTCAGGGCTCCCGCGGAGGCCCCCCCCCTCCGCCCCCTGCAGCCAGGACGGCCCGGGGCAGCGGTCCGGGACCAGCGCAGCAGATAGAACCTATTTTCTGAGGCCAAAGGCAGAACAAGCCGAGATAGCACGACCTGGAAACAGGCCACTGCCCAGGCCCCAGGGGCGTCCCCCAGGAGGAGCCCGGCTGCCAAGCCTTAAAGGCTGGGGCTGCAGCCTCCTCTCTCGGGGCACGAATGTCAGGGACTTGGCCTCAAGGGCACGAAGGTGCTGCGTGCGAGGGGTCGTGCCTGCAGGGCCCTCCACGGGGTCTGGGCGTCCCGGGCCGCTGCCGCGGCTGACCCGGGCAACTCAGAAGGGGACGGCCAAGCACAGCCTCTGTCCCCAGGTCCCGTTCCGGGCTGGGAGGGAGGAGCTCCCGCTACCTCGTCTCGGACTTCCTGAAGGTGGGAGCTCAGAGCAGAAGAGCCTCCTCTCCTGAAGCGTCACCTCCTGCACAGGGGGCGCCCCAGCCACGGGTGCGGGCTGGCCTGGCACCTGCTCGGCCGCAGTGCCTGGTCCCCAGGCATAGCCCGTCACCACGCTGCGGGCATCCCACGAGGTGGGCGGTGGGGGCTTCCGGGGGGCGGACGCCGGCACCGGTCAGGGGACACTGGCTCACCCTGAGTGTGCAAGGGCCGCTATCGGTGCCAGGCGTCAACCCCGGTCTGCGCTGTTTAGATGCGGCGGCAACATCCGCTGCACAGCGGGCCTGTCTCGTCGGGCCCAGCGGGGTGGGGACGCGGGGCCTGAGCCCCGACGTTGAAAACGGCGCTGCAGCCGCCACAGGCCGCCGCCCCAAGGCCCCGGCCAACCCCCTGGCTGCTCGGCTGCACCTGTTGGTGCCTTTGCTTCAGATGATTTGCGTGTGTTTGTGCCACCTCCTCCCGGGGTCGTGGTGCAGGGCCTGCTGGGCCTGTTTGACTTTGTCGGGCCTCGTGTGCTGTTCAGGATTGGATCAGGGCTTTTTCAGTTCTGTGTCATTAGTTTGGGGCAACGGATTTTTTTTTTAAACATTTTATTTATTTATTCATGAGAGAGACACAGAGAGAGGGGCAGAGACCCAGGCAGAGGGAGAAGCAGGCTCCATGGAGGGAGCCCGATGTGGGACTCGATCCGGGTCTCCAGGATCACGCCCTGGGCTGCAGGCGGCGCTAACCGCTGAGCCACCCGGGCTGCCCCCGGGGGCAACTGATTTTTTTGTCTCGATGTCACGAATGACGCTCCAGTTATAGGAGGCCTGGAGCTTTGTTCAGCGAAACCGCAGTGGTAGTGCCTATGCGGGCAGGGTTCGAGCCCCGCTGCGGCGCCTGCTAGCGCCAGGGCCTCCCGTCAGCAAGCTTCCCCGGCCTCAGGCTTCTCCTGTGTACGGTGAGAATAATAAGAAAGCCTGTGTGCTGGGGTGTCCTGAGGATTCGAGGAGGTAAGACGTGTGGTTGTTCGGAGCCAGGCGTGGACCAGAGTCAACAACAAGTAAGCAACGGGTCTTAGGGGCCCTTGGGGCTCAGTGGTGTGACCCCGAGGTCCTGGGGTCGAGTCCCGTGTCGGGCTCCCTGCATGGAGCATGTGTCTCCCTCTGCCTGGGTCCCTGCCTCTCTCTCTCTCTCTGTGTCTCTCAGGAATCAATAAATACAAAGCAAAACGAAATAGCGGATAATTCTCAAATTAACCCTTACAGCAGCAACAACAAAACAGACCCAGGTAAAGTGATGACCGTTTCCGATTGGCCAAGCTCTTCGAGGTGGCTGTTCCTGTGATGTGAGGTCAAACAAGCTCTGGTGCAGGGTGTGCAAGACACGCAGCTATGGAGGCAGAGCAGAGCAGAACTATTTATGAACCAGGGTCCCTGGTGCTCCCAGACGTCTGTGCCGCCCGGAGGCTGACTCCCTTTCTCCCCATTCATTTGATTTATGGGACCTGCCGCGGGGGGGGGGGGTGACAGAGGGGGGTATATCTCCACTGTCTTCACTGCAGCCTCGGGGGCTCCTGGATCTGCCCCTCAGCTAACGTCCCCTGCTCACAATCCACGCTAAACACTCATTCATGCAAACAGCACGTTTTTTCTTTTTGTTTTTAAGATTTTATTTATTTGAGAGAGAGAGAGAGCACAAGCAGGGGGAGCAGGAGAGGCAGAGGGAGCAGGGGCCCCATGCAGGGCTCCATCCCAGGACCCCGGAATCACGACCTGACCTGAAGGCACACGCTCAAGCCCTGGGCCCCCCAGGCTCCCCGCAAACAGCGCGTCCTGAGTGCGAGCCCTGTGGACAGGACGGTGCGGGGTGGGGGGAGGAGCTCTTTGCCTTCGTGCAGCTTTTCCCCCCAGGAGTGGGGAGAGGGAACAGTCGGGCAAACAAGCCACAAACCAGAAGGCGATCTCAGCAATGCTCTGAACCAAAAAAAAAAAAAAAAAAAAAAAAAGGCACAAGAACGCTGAACAGAAAAAAAAAAAAAAAAAAGACGAGCACAAGAACACTGAACGTGATGCAGGATGGAAGCTGCTCCAGGCACATCGTTGGGGAAAATGTCCCCGGGGAACAGGTATTTGAAGGGAACTCTGGAAAAATCGAAAAAAAAAAAAAAAAAAAAAAAAAAGCAAGCAAGCCAGGCTTTGAACTGGGAAGACGCATTCCACACAAGGGAAATGATCAGTGCAAAGGCCCCGAGACGGGCACCCGCACGGGGCAGCAAGGCTCCATGGCCCGAGGGGAGAAGGAAGGCCGCCGCCGTGTCACTCTTGTGTCGCAGGCACAGCTCCCCTCTTGCTCAAAAGACCTCTAGGGACTACGGCTCGCATCCCTCCGCCTTTCCTCACGGTTATCGAGTCCCAGGCGGCGCCCCGGGCTCGGGCTGGGTAAGCACGTTCCGGCCCTGTTCTCCGAAAGCCGTTGCCATCTTTCTGGGAGCTTCGCGATGGCCCCTTACGTCCCCATTCATCCAGGGCCGAGCGCCTGCTGCGCCTGAGGCTTGACTACAATCCTAGGTGCCCAGGATTCCCGGGGAAGTGGAAGCTACAGGAGAAGTAAGACTGGATCCCCGCCCTCGAGGAGCTCGCTGTCGGGGCTGGGGGTGCAGGTGGTGGGACGAACCCTGAGTTAACAGAACCCAGAGTAAGGGCTGTGTTTTAAATGGAATTTGCAAAAGGGTGACGTCATTGCATACCAGGGAGGCTTCACGGAGGAGGTGGGCTTTCAACTGGCTGTCAACATATGACAATCAGTAAAGGATGGGAAAGGTTTTCCACGGCGGGTAGGGGCGGGGTTTACAAGGCGAGGTCCCCTGGGGAGGTGTGTGGGACCCTCCGGGGCAAGGAACATAAGCAGAGTGGAGATGGGAAACAGCAGGGTCCTATTCCAGAAGGTCTCGGAATCTAGGTACGGGGAGTCGGACCTGCTGGAGCAGGGAGCTGAAAAGGAACATCCCTGGGCTCTGCGCCCCAAGGTCTGGGTTTCCCGTCGGGTGTAGACACAGCTGCACTGGCCTCCATGTGCCATCCACATACCCCAGAGTGCGTGGGGCGCCGGGGACACCCCCCTCTTCACCCAGAATCCAGGCGGGATGTCGGCCCGTCCGCTGAGCCCCGGTCTCCCGGCTGCGCGGGGCAAGCGGGGGCCTGAGCACCCGAGCGGCCTCGGGAAGCACCGACGTCCCCCCGTGAGTTCGCCGATGGGGCTGACTGGCCGGAGGAGCGGGTTCTGGGTCCCTGATGGGCTGGTGGACGGCCTGGAAGCTGCGTCAGCCGCCCCATGGGCTGACCCGGGGCTGGGTCCCGGGGTGCGGGGTGGGGGGGCGCATACTCTCTCCCAATCGCCCGGCCTGTGGCCATCGCGGAATCGCTGCCTGGGCGCTCGCTCGTCCAGCAGCCTTCACTCCTTGTGCTATGGGGAGTGTCGGCCCCAAGTGGGTCTGGACACGGGGCGCAGGCCAAGGGACGCGCCTAAGCGGAGGAAGGAGCTGCTGGTTGCCCGACGCGTTGGAACGTCGGGGGTGGAAACCAGCTGCGCTGCAGAGGAAGGGGAGAAAAGGATGCTGGGGTTCTGGAGGGTTCCAGGAGGGCAGGAGGACAGGGTGCGGCTTGCTCCCCGGGAAGGCTGGAGCCGGACACCGACGGGCCCGCACCCGGCTCTGCCGAGGTCCAGCTGTGTGGCCTTTGGCAGGTGATGCAGCTCCTCTGAGCCTCAGGCAGCTCATGTGAAATGGTCACCCTTGTTCTCCTCCCTGTTCCGCACACTTGGGGCCACGCGGGGACAGTGCGTGTGAAGGTGCCATGCACATAAGCACGCAGACTGCGGGAGCCCGGAGTGCGGGCCCGGGCGTAGGGGGCTGCCGGCCGTCCTCGGAGGCCGCCCCGCCATCGCCTTCCGGGAAGGGTCCCCGACGGGCCTGGGGCACAGCGCCCGCTGCTAACCCCGGGAGCGGTCGCGGGTGGCGGCGAAGGCGGGAGAGCCGGGACGGAACACGCATCTGGTGGGTGATTTGCCTCTGATGCGAGGATAAACAGATCCAGTGAAATAGAAAGTAGTAGAGACCTTGACGGCGACGTCGTGGCCGAGAACAGGTCAAAAAAAAAAAAAAAAGTAGCGCTACGTAGGCAGAATAGCTCGGGACAAACTCCCTTTGAGGTTGTGAACCACATGGGGGGAGTTAGTGGCCTGCGGTGGTCGACGTCCCGGAGGGTCCCCGGCTGCCCGCGGCGTAGAGAGCAAACACGAGCCAGCAGGCCCCGAAGGGCTAGAGACAGAGCGGGTGTAGACGGAGTGGGGGCTCAGGAGGGAGAGCAGGGAAGCTCCCCTTGTTCGAGGTCTGGGGTCATCGTTGGGGCCTGGGCCTCATGCATGTCCTCTCAGGCGTCCAGGGACTGTGTGGCTCAGAGACCGGGGCCCCACTGCTATTCCTTGGAGCCGGGGGGGTCTCGGCAGAGCTGGGGTGCAGGCCTGTCGGTGTCCGGCTCCAGCCTTCCCGGGGAGCAAGCCGCACCCCGTCCTCCTGCCCTCCTGGAACCCTCCAGAATGCCAGCATCCTTTTCTCCCCTTCCTCTGCAGCGCAGCTGGTTTCCACCCCCTGATGTTCCAAGGCGTCGGGCAACTGGCAGCTCCTTAGGTGCATCCCTTGGCCTGCGCCCTCCCGCCCCCCCGTGTCCCGTCATCATGGGTTCATCGGGTCACTCTCACCCGGTCCCTCCTTAGCGGTCATCTACTCTGAAGGAATCATTAACTCCTTGTCCCTTCCAGGGGGGACGTAGACTCTGCATTCCGAGGCACGTGTGAAGTGGGGGTGCAGAGCCCCGCAAGAGTGGGAGCAGTAGGGACGCCCGGGGGGCTCAGAGGTGGAGCGTCCGCCCTTGGCCCAGGGCCTGACACCGGATTCCCGGGATTCAGTCCCGCATCGGGCTCCCTGCATGGGGTCTGCTTCTCCTCCCTCGGCCCGGGTCTCTGCCTCTTTCTCTCTCTCTGCGTCTCGTGAATAAATAAATAAAATCTTAAAAAAAAAAATAAAGTAAAGGAGCCCAAAGCAAACTGATGGTGTCGTACGGGTTCCCCAAGTGACAGCGTCTAACGGGCTCTCCCCCGTCGCCCGGGGCACGTGCAGCCAGGGGGCCCAGAGGAAGGACGCACGTTCCCGCAGTTCGAGGCAAAGCCGGAATCAGAGCCCTGGTCCTCTGACGCCTAGGTCGCTGCAGAAAAGAGTACTCTGGGGGGTGCCGTGGGGGAGGAAGGAATAGCAGCAGATCGGGACCACTCGTATAGCAAACGGGTAGAGGCGCACACGTGGCCTTTGGCAGGAGGATCGGTAGGACGTGGGGGGACGGCAAAGGGGAGGGGGTGGTGAGAGCGAAGGCACTGAGCTCATAGTAGGCCTTAGGGGTCGGCGACTTGGTGCGCCGTGGCCTTCTGGGGCCCAGGCCTGTGTATGGACAGGGGCACTGCCAACACCCGGCATCGTTCCCCTTCCCCCCTTGGTGCTCGGACACCGGCGGGAGGGCAGGGACTGTTGCGGGACCAGAGCAAGCCCAACGGCCGGGTGCACCAATGGTGGCCCCTCCCCGTCCCACCCCGTCTGCCGTCTGTCCAGACAGCAGGAGTCTCACTCCAGTGAACTCTCCGAAGGACACGCAACGGAGTCGGCTGCCTGCGTTGGGGGGAGAAGGGCGCAAACAGCAGGAATAAAATCGGGGAAAACAAAACAAAAAAACCACAAAAACACAAAAAAAGGAATGAGCTTCCTCTTCCAATCAAAATCCCAAGAACGTTTGACCTCAAAGGGGTTGGTTTCAAAGGCAACAGAGTCGCTCTGGCTTTCCTTCAGGCTTCTCACGCCTGCTCTTGGCTCTACCTGGGACAGGCCGGGGACACGTGAGAATGAGTTTATTTCCAGCGTCGTCTGGCCATTCCCTCCCCCTTCCCTCCCCATCTGTCCCCTTCTCCAACTTGTACCCCCTGCCAGACGTGGCAGGTCTTCCAGGAAACCAGAGCTCTCTGCGCTCTCTCCCTGGGAAGGCGGCTTTCATACCACACAAATGACTCACATCCCCCCCAAAGAGCTCTCTCTTCATTCCTGGACCACTGTGGTAACAGCCGTGTGGGTTTTTTTTTTTTTTTTTATTGGAAAGAACAAAGGCAATATCTTTTACCGCCTGCTGCTTTGTGGTTAAAAAAAAAACATTTATGTATATTCTTGATTGATTTTTCACATCGACCGTGAGACAGGGTTAAACGTTTCCGATCAAGCGTCCTGTGGTGTATGACCTTGAGAGAGTCACTCCTCTGTCTCCGGGCTCCGTTTTTACCCCTGAAAAACAAGGTACGTGGTCACATGCTCTTCCCTTCACCTTCGCATGAAGAGCAGTATTCCTAATGACGCGGAATGAGGGCGAAACTTGGCCCACTGCTTCCACTGGAAAGGGCAAGCTCCCCCCGACAGCTTTTTGGGATTATCGAGCCCTCTCGGCTCTTCATGGTGAGGTAATTAGGATGAATGGCCCTGGAATCAGGAAGGACCTGGGAACAGAACCAGGCCAGAAACCAACGGGAGGCATTACTACTACATTTAGTAATAGTTACCATTTACTGAGCATATATCACATTTGAAAGTGTGTCAAAAACTACGTACACGCGACAGGTAGGGAAACCGAGATTCGGGGACATTAAACAGCTCCTAAGGGGTGGAACCGGGGTTTAGAGCCTACTTTTCTTGAGAGCCCACGACGTCGTTTCTCCGTTGGGTCGCACCTTCTCGGAGGTAGCCCATCTCCAGGATTGTCCTTGTTCTAGCGTTGCCCCAACAGTATCATGACCCACGACGTCCCCCTCACGGCGGTTGACCCTCTTTCTGTTCTCGTCCTAGATACCTGGCCATTGTCCACCCGCTGAGACCCAGGATGAAGTATCAAACGGCCACGGGCTTGATCGCCTTGGTGTGGTTGGTGTCCATCCTCATCGCCATCCCTTCCGCCTACTTCACAACCGAGACGGTCCTCGTCATTGTCAAGAGCCAGGAGAAGATCTTCTGCGGCCAGATCTGGCCGGTGGACCAGCAGATCTACTACAAGTCCTACTTCCTCTTCATCTTCGGCATCGAGTTCGTGGGCCCGGTGGTCACCATGACCCTGTGCTACGCCAGGATCTCCCGGGAGCTGTGGTTCAAGGCGGTGCCGGGCGTCCAGACCGAGCAGATCCGGAAGCGGCTGCGCTGCCGCAGGAAGACGGTGCTGGTGCTCATGTGCGTCCTCACGGCCTACGTGCTGTGCTGGGCGCCCTTCTACGGCTTCACCATCGTGCGCGACTTCTTCCCCACCGTGTTCGTCAAGGAGAAGCACTACCTCACGGCCTTCTACGTCGTCGAGTGCATCGCCATGAGCAACAGCATGATCAACACCCTGTGCTTCGTGACCGTCAAGAACAACACCATCAAGTACTTCAAGAAGATCATGCTGCTCCATTGGAAGGCTTCTTACAGTGCCAGTAAGTCCAGCGCCGACCTGGATCTTAAAACCACAGGCGTGCCTGCCACCGAAGAGGTGGACTGCGTCAGACTGAAGTAACCCGCTGGGCCTCGCAACGTTTAAACAAAGACAGACCCTTGGGACCCTGACCAGTGTATGGAAGATACACCGTCAAGCAAGAAGCCTTGGGTGGCTGCCGGGGGCAGAGTGAATGGACAACCCACCAGGCACCGATGTAGCCCATCTCTAGGATTGTCCTTCGGCTCGAGTTCTCTCTTAACATTTGGGGGCATTGGAGCATGAATAGGAAACGGGCTCCTCGTTCTTTCCTCAACCCTTCTAGTCTCATCTCTGGTCCTGTCACTGTGAGGAGCCTCATGTGCATGCACATGGACACCCCAATACGCATGGCCAAGTTCTGTCCAAATCTGCTCCGTGGCTACCCCTCTGGCTTACGGCTGTGCCCATACACGGTGAGGCTCATCATCAGGGGAAGCCACGCAGACCCTGGAAGCCATTTGGTCTCAAGGTATTAAGGGGTTCTGGGTGTCTTGACTTGCTCCAGGGAGGGCCTCGGCTCAGGCCGAGTATATCCTCTTGGCTCCAGGGGGAGGAGTTCAGATGGCAGACCTCTGAGAGCCTGTGGGGCTCAGGGCAGGAGCTCGGGTTTTCTGGGGGTAAGGATGCTTCTGCCCCTCAGTTATTCTGACTTGGACCAATTAGGCTTCCCCTCAAGTCCTGCTCTTGAATCCACGCCTGGGAAGCATAGACTCTTTGAAAGTAGGCACAGCCCCTCATGGTGTGGCCATCAGCCGTGTTCCACGTCCACCAGCTCTCCCCCTCGTTATTACAGTTTGAGGGCAAGAGGAGTCTGTCACCAGTGCCCGAAGCCCATCACAGCTGTTAATCCTTTGGATTAAGACTTGCTTCTCTCTCCTTGGGACAGATCACCCGCCATGTGTAAGTGGAGCCTTGCGATCCAGGGGCAGGTGGTGAAGGTTGGTGGGACAGCCCTGGGCGTCCAGGAAAGACGGGGACATACCAGCGGGTGAAGGTGACCCTGTGGGATTCAATGCCTCCACGGGCTCGTCAAGAGCTCATCCTACTTTCTAACGCGCCCTCATTGTGTAGTGTTTCCAATTTTGGAATCTGGATTTTTGGGACCAGAAGATCTGATCCAGCCTTGGCTCTGCCACCTGTGCGACCCTTGGGAGAGCTTCCCAAAGGGGACAAGGCTAAGGCCTGTGAGAGCTCCTGATGAGGTGGTTGTGAAGAGCCGAGGAGCCGGTAGGTGGGTAACCAAAGGAGAGGACCGATGACTGTATAGCGTGCCCGACCAGGAAAAACTTGCCACCCTGGCTTCTGTATCTGGGAACTTTACCGTCTCCCCTTGTCATTACTCTTCGTGCACATTTATCCCTTTACCTCTCGTGGCCGCGCTAACGTGTCACGTCCCAACAACACGCTGGTACCGCGAGGCAGAGACGTCTGGTGGTGAAGGTGCAACAGGGAGTGGCAGCGTGTCTCCCGCCGGAAGATGAGCTCCGGGTTTTAGGAATCTCGGAATGAGACTGTCTGTAATCACGGACGCGTTGACCACGTTCCTGCTCCCGGCCAGCGTGCGCCTGGGCAATGTGACATTTGCTTCTCGATCTTTCTTTAGTTTCCTAAGTGTGTATAGCTAAAGAGTAGATGTGTCCTTTCCCTCTCAAAGAATCCTAGAGCGGCACATTTCAAAGGGTATTTAACTGACACTCGTACGGCGTTTCCCTCCAAATAGAGGCAACTCTTAATTTTTGGCAGCAAACCTCATTTTTTTCCCAATAGTTACTTTATTTCCCTGGAAGACACGTTCAAAGATCCATGTCTTCCCACTCACCATCCAGCAGACCGTTCTACGGTGCCATCGGAAAACTCTCAGAGAATAAAAACTAATTAAGACATGAGCCCAGGGATCCCTGGGTGGCGCAGCGGTTTGGCGCCTGCCTTTGGCCTGGGGCGCGGTCCTGGAGACCCGGGATCAAATCCCACGTCGGGCTCCCTGCATGGAGCCTGCTTCTCCCTCTGCCTGTGTCTCTGCCTCCCTCTCTCTCTCTCTCTCTGTGACTATCATAAATAAATAAAAATTAAAAAAAAAAAAAGACATGAGCCCAAACCCATCACGTCCCGGAGGGCGGTACTTACTCCTTATAAGATTACATATTCCGTTCTAGACTCGGGAAAGGTAGCTTCGGACCACAAAATAGTAATAGGACATAGTCGGCTGTTGTCCCGTTCGCCTCTCCCATTAGAAATGCTAAGCGAGAGTCGCCTATCGCATGGGAGCTTTTCGCACGTGGCAGCCGAGCGGCTTTGCTTTTCCGCCTAGAACGTGTCCGCTTTGCACTCGTTTAAGTGTCTGTGATATTCCTGCTTGTTGCGTCTGCTTGGGGTTTTCCACAGTGAATAAAAGTGTCGTGTTGTGATCAAGTGAAATAAATAATAATAAAAAAAACCAACAGTGCAGATCTAAGCGTGGAGCGTAGCGTGCCTGTAATTTCCACGTCTTCCCCCTCGTCTGGGTCACAGCGCGGAGCTGCTTCCCGCCAGCGCCGGGCAGAGGCCGCGGCCACGGTGGCAGCAGTTGTGAGAACGGCGCTGCCCGGGCCCCTCTTGCCCTCGCGCTTCTCCGTCCTCCGCAGATTTCACGGTTTAGATCTTCCTCCTCTAAGGCGGCTCTGGTACAACCATCAGTGCCTTTTCAGCATCTAGATGCCAAGACGTGAAATCTGAGGACCCGCTTACGCCCGTCACACGGCCTACGGCGAGCCCTTGGCACGGGCTTCCCGTCCACACACGCAGAAACGATCCAGGAGGTGGCCCCGGGATCCCACACCAGGATCCGCAGCCTGGTGCCTGGCTCCGCGAACCCGGCTCCCGCCCGCCCAGCCCAGGGCCTCTCCAACCCACCACCAAGGGGCCCCGGCGCTGAGCCGCCCTCCGCTGTCCTCCACGCGCTCCCAGCGCACCCGGCCTGCGCCTTGTCCTGCGTGGAAGCCCGAAGCCAGGGCTTTGGCAAAATTGAACCGTTCCCTTAACTAGAGCCAAAGGGGAGGGCAGGTGCACAACGAAGCTGCTGGGCATTTTGCCTAATGGTCACACGTTGGAGAAATGACTTCTTAAATCCAGGACACGGCAACAGGGCAGCGGGCGGTGTCCCCGGAGCCCTCCAGCGCGGCACCTGTCCCCCCTTAGGGAAAGGGCGCTGAGGAGTGTGGGACGCGGCCACAAAATCCTAACCATGACTCTGGTTTCTTGAAACATCTGAGATGCTTCGGGCTGCATGCACAGCCCGAGTCCAGCTCTCCTCCCCGGGACCCAGCCTGTTAAACCCACGGGGTGCTTTCCACGGTGGGGAACCCGACGCCCCGGTGAGAGGTTCGGGCGCCCAGGGCCCCTAGCTCTCCCGGGGTTTTCCTGCCGCAGCCTTGGGGGCAGCCCGTTTCATCTTCCCCAAGAACTCTCAGGTTGACCTTCAGCTTGGCCAGGCCGCCCCTGGGGACCCTTCCCGGCCCTGCAGAGCCCACTTAGCTCTCGTTCCCGGACTCAGCACAGAGGTCAGGAGGTTTCATCCCTTGCCCTGTCATCTGGCGGAGGGCGGGAGGGGGGTGGCCCGAAGCCCACCTCCTGCCCCGCGGTGAGGACGGGGCATGGGCCTGGGAGGCACCAGACACAAGGAAGGTCGCTTGCACCTGCCCCTGGAGATGGGACCTGGGTGTTGACCAGGGATGGGGGTGGCCTGGGGGGCTTCTCACACCAGGAGGGAACTGTCGTCCCTGCAACAGGTAAGCAGGACCCTAAAGGACGCGGGGTGCGGAGAGCGGTGGCTCACCGGACAGGCCCGGGTGGGGGCGAGGCCCTGCAGGAGTGGGGGGGCAGGCGCAGGTCAGTGGGACTCCATCAGCACCTCCCGGGCTCCTCCTGTGAAGGTGCCTCCATAGGGGCTGTGGCTCCTCCACCCGCCCCAGCCTGCAGGGTCCCTCCAACCTCTGCAGGGTCCCTCCACCCTCTGTGGGGTCCCTCCACCCCCGTCCCCCACCAGCCCCGGCCTGCGGGGTCCCTCCATCCTCTGCGGGGTCCCTCCATCCTCTGTGGGGTCCCTCCACCCTCTGCAGGGTCCCTCCATCCTCTGCGGGGTCCCTCCATCATCTGTGGGGTCCCTCCACCCTCTGCAGGGTCCCTCCACCCTCTGCGGGGTCCCTCCATCCTCTGCAGGGTCCCTCCACCCTCTGTGGGGTCCCTCCACCCCCGTCCCCCACCAGCCCTGGCCTGTGGGGTCCCTCCATCCTCTGCGGGGTCCCTCCACCCTCTGCAGGGTCCCTCCACCCTCTGCGGGGTCCCTCCATCCTCTGCGGGGTCCCTCCATCCTCTGCGGGGTCCCTCCACCCTCTGCAGGGTCCCTCCACCCTCTGCGGGGTCCCTCCATCCTCTGCGGGGTCCCTACACCCTCATCCCTCAGGCCTGAGAAGCCCAAGAGGTCTGTCTTTATAACCTGGAGATTCCAGATTCTTTTGCACAATTACTTAACAAACACTTACCATCCTAGGCTGTGATGTTACAAAAAGGAACGACCCAATTCTAGCTCTTGTCCCCTGATGATCTGAATTTAGGAGCTAGGACGTTTTGGTTGTTGGGAAGCACAAGGAAAAATCCTATAAAAGCAGCATTGCACATTCACTTCTCAAGGTGACTGCTTTGCTCTCTTTTCGTTGGTCACTCTCTGTCGCTTCATCGTTTTGTTGCTGCTTTCGCTTTCCTCACTTTAATTTTGTTGCTCTTTTCATATCTTCTTGAGTTGAATCTATACGTGTTTTTAATTATTTTTACGTCACTTTAAGGGAGTGAGTTTCCTTTGGATAGAGCTTTCTCTATCCAAAAGAAACATTTTATTTATTTATAAATTTTATTTATGAATAAATTTAAACATTTTGTTAATTTATTAGACATTAAAACATTTTATTAAAAACATTTAATTTGGGATCCCTGGGTGGCGCAGCGGTTTGGCGCCTGCCTTTGGCCCAGGGCGCGATCCTGGAGACCCGGGATCGAATCCCACGTCG